TAAAGAAACATTAAATAAATTATTTTTCATGTTGGTCAACGTTTTGGGGGAATATAGCTTAGATAAACACATTTTTAAGGTCAGCTACTCTAAGGGTTGGGTTTATAAAAACAACCTCTGAGGAGCTTTAATAAATCTTTTAAAAAGAAAAAACGTCAAGCACTTGTTTTCATTACTGAATCATTTGCTATTGCTGAATAATGGTCATTCAAGAGGTAAGGGTAACCAGGAGGCTCTGATAGGCACGCTAGGAAGCTCGCCTATTATGAAAACCCTCTGTTGATGGCCAGTGCTGCCGGCCGTGCTTGGATTTCTGTGACAGTGAGGCCATCCATCAGTTACATTTTAAATCAGGTCAATGGACATTGCTGGATGACTTGGGTCATAAAATTGTCCCATGAAGACAAATTCATTCTTACTCGACAGTGTGGTTTTAGGATAGATAGAGTAGAATTAGGATAGATATAAGTCCAAAACAATGAGTTTCTATGCCCTCAAAATAAACAAGATGAGCAGATGCGTTAAGTGTATTTAACTCACCTCTTGGGCCTCCCATCTCTTCTGACAGCAGCTGACAGCCACTTGGGGACCCACTTTGGGTGTCACACTACCGCTTGTCTGTCAGGTTGCCTTCCTGGGGTGGCGGGGCGGTGGTGCTGTGATTCTAGAAGCGGTGCCACCAGAATTCCAAGTCCCAACACTAACGGCCATGGTAGACAGGTTTCATGAGATCTCCCAGACTCAGACAAATAGGAGGAAAGATCGAGTGATGCACTTCTTAAAATATAGGCTAGTAGAACCCTATCTGATACAGTGCAGACGATGAGCCTCTCTGGCTGGAAGGCACTCAATATTCAACTGAGGAGGAGCTGCCGATTCAATGTAGAGTTGGCGTGAATGATACGGATGGACTAACACGTATTGGACTTTTATTTGCTCATGTGGCATGGCTCAAACAAGAAGAAGCAGCCGCAAGCATCCATTAATTATCAGAATATGGAATGTAAGATGCATCCATTTGTTGGAACCTCTCAATTGGTCTTCCATTAATTTCTTAATCCTTGTTTTGTCCTTCAGTATTTATTCCTTCCAAGCTCTTGAATGGTTGAATGTTGACCACAGTTTTTGGTACGGTTATTTCTTGTCTTCCATCCGCCTTTGATGCTTCAATTGATGTCTTTACTTCATCCTTTCTTCCATTCACTTTAAGCTCCTCTCTGTCCAAGATCAAGGTTCAGAATCTGTGTTGACATCCAGTTTGGGGTTTGCCTTCTTTGCTATCTCTACCTTTTGCTTTCTTCTTGATATCATCGCAGTACCCAGCTCACCTGTGGTTCCCTGTGTCCCACGCATCCGTTCTTGAGATGATCTTTATATTCAGGCAGGATATACTCAAGGTCCTGCTTTGGCTCTTGCAGGCTTGCTTACATTTTCTTCAGCTTCAACTTGAATTTACACATGATGACTTGCTCCAGAATTGACCGCTGGCCTAATTCCGATGGTAGGCCATTTGATTGACTGATTCCAAATGGCCCAGAGTGGTTCATTTCAGCTCAGCAATGCCCAAGATATCTATCTTTATGCATTTCATTCCATTTTGGCATCTTCTAATGAGAACAGGCTCTCGGGGCTGACAGGGAAGCCAAAAAGGCTAAGCACGCATCTGAAAAGACGGCAAATGGCTGCTGCTCAGGCTTCCACTCACAAAGGCAAGCCCCAAAGAAAGATCGTGTAGCCTCTCATCGTTTCTGCTCCTGGACTTGGTGGACGATAATAAAGTTGGCAGAATAAAATATTCTATGACAAAAGAAGAAGGGAGGGAAGGAAGGAGGGAAGGAAGGCAGGAAGGAAGGAGGGGAGGGAGGGAGGAAGGAAGGAAGGAAGGAAGAGTTAAACACGTGTCATTTTGAGGGCAGTTGGGTCTAACCCAAGTCACGAAGTGTTTGGTCCCCTCATCTGCAGGCAAGCTCAGGACAGTGACTAAAGAGGCCCCGGGGAGGCATTTGAATGACGGTGTCGCTGAACAACGTACCGCCGAGGAATGAACAGAGCTGTCTTGAAGCACAACCAGCACGTTCCTTAGAAACTAGAGCGGTGAGACATCATTCCATATACTTTGACGTGTCAGTAGGAGGGAACAGTCCCTGGAATAGGACATCCTGCTTAGTGAAGTATGAGGCTGCTCAAAAGAAGACAACTCTTGAGGACAGGAGTCCATGGGATGACTGCAGCCGTGAGCACACACCTGAGCATTGCAAGAATGGCTCGGGACCAGGCAGTGCTTCGCCCTGTTGTGCGCAGGGCAACAATGAGTTGGAACTAACTCAACCGCCCCCGACCACCACTATTGCTTAATGGCATCTGAAATGGCAGTTCCAGAGGGTACAGGCCGAGGAAGAAAGGCCGGGTAACCACAAATAGAAGTGCCAAAAGAGAGCATCCAGAGGTGCACTAAAGACGAGAGATGGGATGAAAGAGAAGGGAAGGGGCCTCCAATGAGGAAGGGGTGTGGGGGGAGAGGAGGAGGAGAAGCAAGAAGAGATGGAGAAAATCCATGCCTCTGGGGGGAGGGTCTGGGGAGAAGCCAGGCTGAGACACTGCCCACCAGGGCTCTGCTTTCGCTCTGAGTATGTCCCGCTGTTGTTGTTGTGAACGGGTGTGCTGGTGACTCCAGGCCCATCTCTGGGTCCCTATGCTCTGTTGAGTTTTCACTGGCTGATTTTCAGGGTTCGATGACCAGGCCTTTCCTTCTAGTCCGTCTTAGACTGAAACTCTGCTGAAACTGGCTTGGCATCGTAGCCAAAGGTAAGGCTGGCGTGGAGTGCATCCACTGGGAATTGGATGTAGATCTTCAGCATGGAAGGTGAGAATTTCAGCATGGAACACCACTGCCCTCTCCTCCTTGTTACGCAGCATAATGCGTCTGACACCTTAGCGACTCAAAGTACTCCGAGGCAGATCAGGTCTTAAACTCTGCCAAGGGATGTCATCCCTGGCTGAAGCTATGAGTCTCCCTTGGGTGTTGAAAGGAGAACTGGGGCTCTGAAAAGAGCCCGGGGGTTCTGAGCCTGCTCTCTTCGGAGGATGGAACCTGCATCCGAATTTCATGGGCCTCAAAAAAAGAGAGAAGAAGATAGTTTCTGTTTATGAGTGGGAAGGAATGTCACTAAGGAGCTGAAGGAGTTGAGGTTATATTACCATAAAGTGCCTCCGGGCTTGAAAGTTCAGGGGAAAGAGAGCTCGCTAACCACATCTGGGGCTTGAGGTTTTATTGAACTGGTAATGAAAATAATCTTTGCAAAATATTTTGAAAATATTTGATAAACACAGAAGGAGGCTGCTGTCTAGATACATGAGTTCAGGAGGAGGCAAAATAAGACAGCCTTGAATTTTGAGTAGCAACCTGTTAGCAACCAGCCAATATTTGGATCAGACACAGAGCTGGCGGGGGTGGGGGTGGGGGTTAGAAATGCAGGTTTTGGAACAGAATCCATGTCCCAGCTCTGCTGAGTGTTTGTGGTATGAACTTGGACTAGTTAACTTCACTGGCCTCTGTATCTTCATCCATACCAGGAGGATGGATGCTCCTTCACAGGCTCACATGAGCACTGGACACCCAGTCTATTCCAATGCATGACAATCCTGGAGGCTACGGAAGATCCCTTGACTCTTTGTGAGACAACTGACGTGGAACATTAACACATATGAAGCAAGGAGAGACTGGGAAATGGCTGGCCCATTGGAATTTTCTTTCTCTTACTGGGCTCCAAACCCTTTTTTCAGGGAAGAGATAAGGATTTGAGACTGGTCTACAAATGAGCCTGAGCTAGCTTGTTGGAGGATGAGCAGCCACATGGAGGAGAACCGAGTGACCCTTGCTAAGTGCCTGTCCACTGCCCAGCATATGAGAGAGGCCATCCTCGGTCATCCAGCCACAGCCTGCCAATCATTGGACGACAAATGCAATACAGTGAGCAGCATAGCGGAACAAAGTCGGCTCTAATTAGAACACACGCTAATCTATTGAATTGTATGTTAAATAAAAGGTGATTGTGTGAAGACCCTAAGTTCCTTTTGCTATACAGCAAAAGGTAACTGATCAGGTGGCATCTACTCTATGACTAACCTGGTTGGACTGGATAGGCCAATTAAGTAGAATTTTTAAACTCGCCTCTGTGCAAAGGAATTTTTGTAGAGACGCCAGGAGGATGACAACCTTCTGGTAGCTATTTTCTACAGTCATGTGGTTTTAAGTAAATTGCAAAAGACAAGAAGATTGAACATCAATAGGATTTTTTCTTAAAATACTCCCAAACCTTGCCTTCCATCCTGTTTTAAAAGTGTGGCATCAACATCCTCAAAGCCGAAACACCGAAGCTCTCGGAGGTTCAGACCCCAAACGGATGGATATCGCTCTTACACGGCTCCTGAAGCCCTCCACCCAGGAACCCACTGGAACGAAATGGAATGAAACGGAACAAAAAGGGATGAAACTGGATAAGAGGAAGCTCCCTGCTTTGGAAGCCATCCATAGTTCCTGGTGTGAGTGACAAGCTTTGCCAACTACCCACCTGGAAAGGAGATAAAAGTATGTATGGACCAAAGTAAAATTAAGAATATCCAGATAATTGAGGCCAACTGAGCCCTCTCACCTGCATTAACCACAGTATTGTAGCGCAAGTGTGCCTAATGGCTTATACTCCCTGGACATCTGTCTCATTCTTTTAATCTCCGTAGGTTGTGTGCGCCCTTCTGTGTCCTACCCCCCCCCCCTTTTTTGCATACGTTCTTGTCCAGGTTGTGGTTCTCCGAAGTCCTGGTGACAGTCTGCTTCAGTAAGTTCTGGAAGCAAAATTTGACCCGGAAAGTACAAAATATTTACGGATTTAACAAAAGCATAACGAGATGCCAGAGACTGTATTAAACACTGGGATGTAAGGCTAACAAAACAAAAGAGACAAGATAAGTTCCCTGACAGCTAAAGTCAAGAGGGAAGTTCAGTGCTTGCTTCAGCAGCACACAGACCAAAATTGGAAGGATACAGAGAAGATTAGCATGGCTCCTGTGAAAGGATGACATGAAAATGTGTGAAGCGTTCCATATTTGGGGGAAATGTTCTCAATCATTAGCTATCTGGGAAATGCAAATTAAAATAACTATGAGACTCCACCTAACACCCTCAAAGATAGCCCAATTCAAAAAAACAGAAAGCAACAAATGTTGGCGGGGGTGTGGTGAAATAGGAATGTTCATTCACTGCTGGTGGTCTTGTAGATACATACAGCCACTGTGGAAAGGAATTTGGTGATACCTAAAATGAAAATTAAGATCCCCTAAACCCAGTCATTCCACCACTGGGCTTATACCCATAAGAAGTAAGAACTAGACCATGACCAGACATCTGCTCTCCAATGTTCATTGTGCCCAGTTCACTATCACAAGAAATTGGAAACAGCCTAAATTTCCATCAGTAGACAAATGGGTGAAAATTCTCTGGTATATACACACAATGGAATACTATGCATTCCTAAAAAATAGTGGTGAAAATATGAAACACCTCATCTCGTGGAAAGAGCTGAAGAATATTATGCTGAGTGGTTAACCAAGCACCAAAGGACAAGTACAACACGAGTCCGCTGAAGTCGCACATATCTCACAGTTCCCAGGCTGAGGACCAGATACTCTGGCATGAGCCAGACCAATCCTAGTGATACATACATCATCAAATAAGTAAACAAATAAACAAATAAAAAGAAATAAAGATACAGATAGCACCTGTGCTACAAGGCATCCCCCCCTCCCCCCCATAGTCCTCTAAGGCTCACAGAGGAGTGGGGGAGGAAAAAAGATGGCAATGGGGGATTAGGGCACTAATCCACCCAAGGGGAAGGTATTGTTTATATCTCTACAGGAAAAGGAGACCGAGAGTAGACCTCATTCTGGAATGGCAGTCTTTAAGGACAAAGTTCTTGCTTGGAGCAGCTCATTCCGAGGACTACAGGGCTGGCCTCAGCTCCAGACGTGACATCCTCTCCCTAGATGTCAGTGCTACAGAGGACGGCCCTGAAGATACAGTTCAGGGAGAGTGGCAGGTCTGACCCGCGGGGGGTGGGTGGGTGGGGGTGGGCCGGGGACAGAGAAAAGTGCAAATGACTGGTGATGGGAGCGAAGCCTCAAAGTCCCCGAGGAATCCTGATGGTAGACTTCTGACCCTGGGGGCAGCGCTTGGCACCTCGCCTGATCTGGCTGGGGGTTTCTCACAAGGGGCCATACTGAAAGTCTGATGGTGCCGCGGCTTGGGGAACGGGGGACAATAGCCCACCCAATCCCTGACTGTAGGAAGAGCAATAGGGGCCTGTAGGATGCATGCCTTTCAGACACACAGGCTGAGGACTACAGGGTATACGTGCTGTTCGGTCAGCAGGTCCCGGGATATGGAACCCTGAATGAAAAGGGGATTGGCCAGAGGGATGATCACAGGTCCTGCTCACTATGTAACAGAGAGATATTCATCTACTCTGGGTCAGGATACCAGTTAGACTTGCAACTATTTGGACGGTCTCTCTCCTTTTTAATTTCAAATTTTCTAAAATTAATTAATTTATTTTCTTTTGTTGTGTAGCTACATAAGACAGGCAGGATAAGCAACCTCATGGAGACAGCGATGGGGCCGATGGTTGCAGGGGGTAATGGGAGTGCAGGAGGTGGGGGGACTTGGGGTGTGAGCCAACAATGACGGGGACAGGGGATGAACAAGGCCTATACAGTCTCTTATAAAGATATTGTCATTCGATTGAGAGCCCATCATCATTCAGTCTAGCCCCTTCTAATCCTTGCCTGAATGAGCTCTGCAAAGACCTTCTTTCCAAAAAGGGCCACATTCCGAGGCTCTGAGCACCCACAAATCTTTGTGGGCCCTGACTCAACCCAACAACAGCTAGGAATTACGAACCGATCACCCAAACAAATCCTTGAAGAGAGATCAGACTTCCTCCTCCTTCTGAATCAGCAAGATGGTGCAGGACTGGCTCTGCTTCATTCTTTTGTACGTAACAAAGTGTTGGCACTTAACAAAGGAGTTGGCACTTGCTCTCGGCAGAGGACCTCTAAGAGGAGAGCCACAGAGCAAGTGCTCGCTAACGTGATGAGTACAAGAAGGAGGATGACGGCCAAGAGAGCAGTATTGCAGGACCAGCCTGAGGGACTATTTGGGGACTGAATTATCCAGCACAGTCAAATGACTTAAGCTACCACCCAGCTGTCTGTCAGTAGATCCTCAGTACCAAAGAGGAACGATGGTGAGGATAAAAACCAGGGCCAAAGCACGGCATCGCCAGCATCCCCAGTTCTCTTGCAGTGGTTGTTGGTTGCCGAGAGACGGTGAAGGACACATGGACACAATAATGACCAAGTTAAAATCGAAGTGGAGAGTGGAGTGATGTGACCGCAAGCCATGGAATGTCAGGAGTTACAAGAAGCTAGAAGAACAAGCAGTTTATCCCCTCGAGATTGGAAGCAGGGTAGCTTGTTGACCTTGATGTATGACAGCGGTTCTCAACCTGTGGGTCTCAACACCTTTGGGGGTCGAACAACCCTTTCACAGGGGTCGCCCAATTCATAACAGTAGCAAAATTACAGTTATGGAGTAGCAACGAAGATAATTTTATGGTTGGGGGGGGGCGGGTCACCACAACATGAGGAACTGTATTCAAGGGTCACGGCATTAGGAAGCTTGAGAACCCCTGATGTAAGACTTCCAACCTCCAGAACTGCTGGAGAATAAATTTCCATTGTTTCAAGCTCCCAAGTGTGTGGTTATCTGTGACGGCAGCAAAGGGAAAGTAAGACGCAAAGTCATTCCCAGTTGCTGCCACACGGCCTCTCTGTGGGGGTTGACGGAGGCGAACTACATGAGTCGATTCAGGCCTTTCCTTTCCGCTGTCCTTTGTGAGTTAAGTAAGAAAAAGGATTCTTATCCTGCAAAGTTTTCCAAGGCTGAAGTGAGGTCGTAGCTGGAAAGTTCTGGACATATATAAAACCTCATTAAATGTTGGCATCAAGTGGAGAAGCAGTTCCCATTCGTTTATATTTAATATATCCATGGGCTACTGTCACACACAATCTTCTAGTTAAACCTTTCGGATGAGTTAAATCTCGGGAAAAGCAAATTTGATTCTTCCTCCACACGCAACCAGGAAAAGGCTTCACAAGAGAGCCAAGGTATGTTGGGGAGACGCAGAAGGGGGAAGCAACAGATCCATGAGATGCAAGGCTGATGGGTCTTATCACAACAGGAGACCCAAGACATCCTCTGTTTGGGTCTTCTCTTACAAATAAACTTTTGCCATGTTTATACTGTGTGAGCATAGGATAATAACTTGGTATTTATTGAATACTCACTTGGTGTCAAGCAATGTCCTAAGCATCTTGCTTGTGTTATTAATGTTTTAAACAATGCCACGAAGTGGGTGCTATTCTTAGCCCCTTTTTCACATTGAGGAAACTCGGCTCAGAGAGACTAACAGACTTGCCCAAGCTGACATAGTTAATAAGTGATGAGGCTATGGGGCGGGGCTTAAGCCCAGACCACGTAATTTCAGAAAAAAGTATTTCCCCTGAATCACAGCCCTGGACCGCATCTGCGTTGTATGGGCCACGGTGTCCCCAACTGAATTCGTGGATGTTTGGTGGTGGTAGCACAATCTCTCCTCCTCTGTGGACCCTGGGCAGGCAACCTTAGTACCTTGTGAGGGTCCGTAGCCCCTACAGCTCCTGATGCTGTGTTTATGAGACCACCCTGTTTGAGCAGACCGGGCTTTCTTCCAATTTGCTCAAATCCCTTCTGACCAGGGCTCTTCCTCACACCACCCTCTGCTGTCATCCAAAAGCAGAAGAAGGGATTCATTGCCGTCCTGAGGAAGGTCGTTGCCTGCTCTCTCTCTCCCTTGTTAAATGTTTGAAATGAACTTGTGTGTCGTTAAAGAATTCAAGTCCACTTCAGTTTTACTTTTCCTCCTTTTTATAAAAACTCAGACCGATATTTCGATCTTTGCGGCGAGGAAACTGGAGGCCGCTTCTCCTTCGCTTCTTTCCCCATGGGGCCATCCTCACAGCTGTCCCCGTGCCGAGTCCATTGTTGAGCCACGGGGTCGCTCCATCTCACTGGGGCCCTTCCTCTTTTTCACCTCACAGAGGGGCAGCGGATGCCAGGGAAGGAGATGAGAAGTCATGAAATGTGGAGGCCAGGGGCCGATACAAGCAGGCAGGCTGGAAAGGAACTCCGTGGGAATTTTTGGCATCTGGTAGGTTTCAAGCTCCAGGATTAAAATCTCCGAGTTAGGAGAGCAATTTCTGGTTTTCCAACAACTCTCTCTAGGGGCCATCCTTTCCAGGGAAAGGTAGCTCATAAGACTGGAGGTTCACACAGCAGGCAGCGTGCCCAAACTTACTCTGTTTTCATTTGCATTATTGGTTTGAAAACTCTCCTGGGTCCCTGATCCATATCAGGTTGGCACGTAGCCCCACAGAACAAATGCTGAGCCAGCACTGGACTCTGGCTGTTCTTCTTGACTTGGGAGAGGCCCAAGGAAACCCGGGCTGCTCTGGGAAGAGCGATCAGATACTCAGCCCTGCTCCTCCACAGAAGGGACCCCCAGGGGGGACATTTGGACATTTGGAGGACTGGATACTTGTCAGCTGAAACCCAGCAGAAAAGTGATATATTACAAGGAAGCTTCAAAAAACTTGTGGAAAAGGGAAATGGAAAGAGGGGTCAATTTTTCTTCATACTTTTTTGAAGCTCCCTCCTATGATCAATACATACATAAATTATGTATGTATATACATATATAACATGAACATGTAAGTATATTAACTATGTAGAAATTAATACATTAGTGTATAAGTATATAATATATGAACACAAGTATAATATACATAATTATATGCAATATAAAATATAACATACAAAATATTTACATGTAAACATGATAATGTATTATATACTTTTATATGTATATATGTGCATTTTCCCCCAGATAATTTCTGAGTTATGATCTATAATTACTTCTGTTATAATCACATGCCGGTTTGAGTTATTGCTAGCGG